GTCAAGCAAGCTTCAGTAGAGAACTCGGAGGTTTAAGTTTTAGGGCTAGGTTCTAGGTTCGGAGCATTCTTTAAGGTGAAGCCATTCCGAAGCCATGGAGTGTGTCCGGTTGCCGTCGGAAGCCGGCAGCGTAACTCCTTCCACGGTGCGGCCTGAATTTCTGCCAAGTTGGCGGTGCCCAGCCGTCAGTAGCAAGGGAGGCAGCAGTGATGTTCTTTCTTTCGTGCCTTGGGCCCTGTTGGGCGGCTGCGGCCGTGCTCGACTGAAGCGCAGCCGGCGCGGGATTTGCGGAGTTCTTAGAGCTCGGCAAGCTGAGATTTTCCAGGTCCCCCTAGATGGAGATGAGGTATCGGACCCTCGGACGTTTTCTTCGAAGATTGCTGTGGCAGAACTGGAAGGGAAGGGCTGCGGAGTAGTGGCGACCAGAGCGATTTCGCGTGGCGAAGTCGTATTGAAGGAGTCACCCCTCCTGGGTCTGCCAGTCTCTTTTGAGTCTGCATCCGACGCGGAAGCTCTTCTAAATGCGACCAGTCTGCGACAGTTGGACGAGGATTTGAACAGTGCACTCACCTCTTGCAGTCAGGCTAGTCAGGACCGGTTTTGGGAGCTGTCAGACTGTCATGGGGAGCCCAAGACGGCGGCAGGCATCGCACTGACCAATGCTTTGCAACTGGGCAAAGGTGGGGGCCTCCTGGCAATGTCGGCAAGATTTAACCACAGTTGCAAGCCAAACGTGCAGGGAGGCTGGGACAAGAGTCAAGGTGGTGGGATGGCCGTTTGGCATGCCCTTCGTGACATCTCTGCAGGCGAGGAGCTGTGTTTTTCTTATGTCGATCCGTACGAGACAGAGGCAGAGCGACAATCCACACTGCAGAGTCTCTTCAAGTTCCAGTGCAGGTGGGATTGGAGTCCGAGCAGTTCAGGGTTGCACAAGACATGTGCCGGTTTCCTTCTGTGAATATACATTCAACAAGCATCCATGCATACATACATGTCATAACACATGCAGGACAGGGGGTACACTTGATGTCTTTATGTCTGTTTGTACGTATGTTTGTGTATATGTCCGTTTGTTTGTTTGTTTGTTTGTTTGTTTTTTTGTTTGTATTTGTGTATTTATGCATTTATGCCATTTATGCCATTTATGCATGCATGCAAGTATGCATTGATGTATGCATGAACGCATGAATGTATGGTATCTTCGCATGTATGTGTGCATGCTTGCATGCATGTATGCACACATGTTGCGTTGTAGGGTTGTAGGTAGGTAGGCAGGCAGGCAGTACGTAGGTAGGTGGGTGGGTAGGTAGGTAGGTAGGTATGTAGGCAGGCAACGCAAAGGAGTATAGCAAAGTTGGCACTGAGACAGGTGCCCAGTCTGCATGCTGCAGGGGGAGGCGAAGATGGCTAGCAACCAGAATCGTCAGCAGCTGCATGATCTCAAGGAGGTGTGGTTTCGGGAAAGGCGGTTATCTAGAGTTTACAGGTTCGTGTTCCGGCCTTTTCTACGTATGCACATACACATAAAGACCGATCAACGGAAGAGGCCCGGAGCCTGTAAATCTGAGAGCTTGTGCTCGGCAACCTCGGCTTTTGCATGCTTGTGCAAGAGACCAACAAAGCCGCAAGCCTGCGGGGCCCGATTGTTTTTTTTGGTTAGCTCCAAAGCTGCGACTCCCCGAACTACCCCTGAACCCGAGGCCCCCTGAAACGCTCTAGAGCAAATTCCCTAAACGACCCTGTCACTCTGACACCCTGTCAGGCCCTTGAGCTCTCTGCCCTCGTTGCCGACGACACGGCCGAGATGGCCCGGGAACTCGTCCCTCAGATGGTGGCCTCTCGGCCGAGTAGAAAAGAGGCTTTGCTTGCCAACGTGGAGAACATGGAGACACAGAGTCTTATAGATCTGCATACGCGTCTTTTGTGTGTGGGCGTACGTTTTGTCATTGATTGCCACACCGCGGCAGAGCACCGCATGTACGCAGGCGTGCGCGCACAGATACCCACACGCACACACAGATGTGTACATGGGTCTCACCGCTCTGTGCTTATCCCTTTCACCGTTCGCGGCCTGGAGAAAGTGGCAGACATCCAGCCCGCTTGTCCTTGCTGCTCATCGACTTATCGGTACAGCTTCGGGATTCCGTGCCCGAACTTCAGAAGCCTCATGGCGGCAGATTCGCGCTTCGCATCCCAGGAGCTTCTGGACGTGGAGTTGGAGGGAAGCCCCGCATTGAAGAGCAAGGCGTGGGGGACAGGGAGCAGGGGGGTTATGTCGAGATAGCAGTATAATACAACGATCAGCCAAACTGGAATTGTGAGTATGCCTCGTGTTGCTCATGTTGCGAGCATTTCCAGCTCTTGCTCGAGTGTTGAGCAGGTAGGAGGAGTAGGACGAGGAGCTGCAGCATAAACAGCAGTAGCAATAGCCGTAGCATCAGAAGTAGTAGTAGTAGTAGTCGTCGTCGTCGTCGTCGTAGGAGTAGTGGTAGTGGTAGCGGTAGCTGCAGTGGCAGTGGCGGTGGCGGTGGCGGTGGCGGCGGCGGTGGCAGTGGCAGTGGTAGTGGTAGTGATAGTGGTAGTGGCAGCAGCAGGAGTAGTAGTGGTGGTAGCAGTTGTGGTCGTGGCCGTGGCTGTCGCACAGCATCAGTCGCATCCGTCGCTGTAGTCATCGACGTAGTGGTAGTGGTTGTGGTAGTGGTAAGTGATAATTGTAGTGACAGTCGCGGTGGTAGTTGTAGTCGTAGTGGTAGTGGTGGTGGTAATTGTAGTGATGCTCGTAGTGGTAGTAGTCGTAGTCGTAGTGGTGGTGGAATTGCTAGTGGTAGCCGTAGTGGTAGTGGTAGTCGTAGCTTCAGTGGTGGTGGTGGTGGTGGTGGTGGTGGTAGCAGCACCAGCATGAGGAGGAGGAGTAGTAGTAGTAGTAGTAGTGTCGTCGTCGT